GAATCTTGCTTTTTGTGTTTGTGGTCCTCTACCGGAGAATCTTGCTTTTTGTGATTGTGTTCCTCTACCGGAGAATCTTGCTTTTTGTGTTTGTGTTCCTCTACCGAAGAATCTTGCTTTTTATGTTTGTGTTCCTCTATCGAAGAATCTTGCTTTTTGTTTTTGTGTTCCTCTAGTAGATAATCTTGCTTTTGGTTTTTGTGTTCCTCTACTGGAGAATCTTGCTTTTTGTTTTTTTGTTCCTCTACTAGAGAATCTTCCTTGCTAATTAGAATAACCCTGAGCTTCTTCTCTTCAACGTACTTGCCACTACTTTTGGAGAACTGCCAGATGCAATGATAAGCATCAATAAAGAAAATTTAACTGAAGGACAAAATACATACCAAGTCAAGAGTGACATCTTCTTCTTTTGTTGCAGCATCAACAACTGTGCTTTGGATCAGAAATTTGTCCTTGCACTCCACCTCAGATGCAGGTGATCTTAGACCTTGCATAGTAACTGCATGGCGGCAAAAGATTAATATATGAAATATGATCACAAATGAATGTATATTAGAGTGAATTTACATGGATGAGAAGATAACATCAACATATTTACATACATCCATTACATAAGAAAAGAGACATGGTAGAGAGGTCAATAACAGGATACTTCTTACCATAGTTCATACCTGAAGATTTTTCCAATTTGCAAGAGAAGTGAGAAATTAGATCATGCAGAGTGACTATAAGCTTCATGGGATGATGTTAATCAATAATGAAAATCACTTTCACCTCCATCGAAGTAGTGATGTCTTAAAGTAAACCTATAGAGTGTTTCAGCAAAGAGCAGTCCTTTTCATTGATTCTACATGCTGATACATGTATACAGGCAACACAAAGAAGTCAAAACAAACACTACCACAGTCATGTAGCATTGACTACGGAATTCAGATGACAAATAGACAACGAATGTGCATACAGTTCCATGATATTCAAACCCCCATGCATTTCACCAGAAATTTAGCTAGTATAGAATGTTGCTGAAAAGCCAAAAACAAAATATAAAATCTTGTAAGGTCATAATATTTAAAAGGAATAGTGATACACTGACACCTGACGCATATTATAGGCATGCATGATGATGAAAATAGTCACAATAACATTTCAGTATAGAGCCCACATATACCTGAAAAGTCGCATGCTGACTTTGGGCTAATGATGCCTGAATTGGGTCTCACGCAAAATCTCTTTGGTGAAGTAGTTTTCACCTGCCAAATGAAACATGTTCTTTATGTGACCAAAATATAGCTGAAAAAGGCCTTGCATTGACTGAGAAAAAACAAGAAATTCTAGAAGTTACTGTGGCAGATACATCAATCAAGCAGGAAGCACCTTAAAAGCAACATACTCATCAGATATATTGGAAAGGTGAACTGAAGTGGTACTTTGTTTCTTCACCTCACCTGCAAAGAGAAGAAAGAACATGTCATGTCCTCCTCTTACAGCTCTAAGATTTTTGGTGTTAGTGTTGCCTCTTTTATGATTTTTGCCTTCGCCCCATTAGCCTTTTAGTCTATATGTCTGTACGTTTCTTCAAAATATAGCTACACTTTGCAAGTCATGTTTTGTTTCTGGTATCAGAGCCAAAAACTATTGGTCTGTGGCATCAACAATCAAGGCACCTACAAACAGAGTCACTGCATTCTCCAATTTCATACTACAAAATTGATTGATAAAGGCTACTAACATAGAACAATCAACAGTATGCGACTTCCATATGCCATCATCTAGAGTTGTTGTGAGGTGCCATTGCCCCTGTTCTGAGTCTGACCTTGTCACATTACGCCACTTGGTGAGTAGTGCAAGTGTGCTATCTGGCTGGCCTGAGATCTCGTCAAAGAACTTCCATTTGGAGGGCCTGGTGTGATTATTTGGAGTCTTGTTGTATTGAGTATATGCTGGTTTCATTGGTTCATAAGAGCTACTGATGATTGTTTGATTGCATAGGGAGCTTCCATTGCTTTACTGGCTTGCCTAGTTGATGTGGGGTCTTAAATTGGATGGTGTTCACATTAGTGTTTTTCAGCTGGTTCTCTGGTATTTTTGTTACTTCGGTGCTAGCAAGCAAAGGAGGGTATCAGCCACATGTTCTCACCTCTGTTGGAAAACCATTTTCTGCACATGATTTTAAAAGACCTATGCTTTTAGGCCCTCCAGGGGCATAACTACTATTGGGGCAACTTATTCATTACTTCATGAGATGTTTATAAGCCAAAAACATTGTATGCATGAGGAATCATCTGCTCATGCACCTTCTGGCAGAAGCTGCTGCAGAGATTCATGGAGAAGAGGGGTCAATCTAGGAGAGGTGGTAGGGAATTTAGTGAAAAATCAGTTGGGAATCTATAGGGGGTCGGGTACACTTATCCAGTGACCAATATGACATGATAACCAGGTATTATGATGTAGAATTATCCACAGCTTATGAAAAGTGGTCCCTATGGTGTTAGTGTCCTTCCTTCGCTGAGTAGTGTTCCAGTCTTGTGTGTTCGATGGTTAATCAAGCAAAAAGAATTATTGCTTATTCCATGCTGCCATGCACTGGTTTTCTCTACCATCCCAATATGGGAAGATAACGTACTCATTCGAAGTCTGATTTTTGTTTTGAAAATTGAATAGTTCTTTCTTTTAGTTTTCACCATATCTTTTTGTTACGAAATTTCAATATATCTTACAAGTGGTGTCAGTTATTCACCTTTGAGGAGTAGTAGATTGTTAAAATTATGGGTTTTTCCATATTTGAAATGTTCAAGTGATCAACTTGACTTAATTATTTTGTTGGACCTGTTATATGAAATGTGGTCTCGAGTATACCAAAACCGTTGCCTCCTTGAGTAGATGGATGGACATCATGGACTATTTATTTGTAAGAACAAATAATTGGTGAATGGGATTTGAGACCAAATGGTTACGTTAGTGGGCTGTGGCATATGGTTATCCCCCACAAGATGGAGAAAGATGGTTCATCCTTATTAGTTTGGAGGCGGAAACATGGATGCAGCCTCGGGAACCTATGATGAGAGAGATAATGCCTATACTTCCAACAGACTAGGCTCAAGTGGCTCACACACAACACAATCATGAAGATCACTTCTGTTATGGTGATGTAAGAGTACACCAGTTTATAAAATAGCATAAAACATATGTACCTGATCTCCCAAAATCTATTAACGTCAAATATTAGAATCCTAATTCCCCTAATGATTTTACTAAATAATTGTACACAAACTTAACTCTAATGCATACTCCCTGAGTCCCAAAATAAACAGCCTTTTTGCTCAAAAAGGTAAGAATGAAGAATGTTCTTAATCACCATAAATCACTATAACCAAATTAATTACAAACTGAAATTCATTTTGTCATCAAACATTTGAAAAGATCAAATTTTAATTGATTTTATATCAAAACATCGAGCTGTCCTGAAAAAATTGATGAAAACTGAAGAAGATCTATGATTTTTATGGCATTCCCTACTAATTTGGGATCAAACCCTTGTTGAAGTGGAATCTAATTGTGGAACTGAACAAGACATTTAATTAAATGTAGACAAAAACTTTCACTGAGCCAATAAAAATGTAATTGAACACTTTGTTTCCTTCATTGCATATCGAAAAATGAAACGTCCTTACATATGAACTTGATTGCTTTTGCATCAACTTCCAACAATCGTGCACCCATTTTTCCTCCTTGGCTGAAAACACAGGTACATCAAGTTAATACACTAAGCTCGACGGTAAGCATAAACAATCGATCATATATCCACAAGGCACAGATTTATTTTGGAAAATTAGGATTCCGATTAGAAGGGGATTCAGATGGCAAATTTGAATAACAATCAACAAAACAAGTATGTATTAAATCGGTGCAAATTACCAATTAGGGTAAAATAGAAAGGCAGTGCGAGTTAGAATTCACCGTCGGAAAACGAATCGATCGTCTAGGCTTCACCGGATTCATTATCTCAATATCTCCTCCGATTTTCTGGTCTCATCTCATCTCGCTTTTGTTCTTACTGCATGGTCTAATTTTTCATGTGGCAGATTTGGTCATCCACTTTGACAAAAGTTCCATGTTTAGTCCCTCATCTTTAGATCATCATAGATTACACCCCTAAATTTTATCCAAGTGTACGAACTTCTCAGAGCATCCACTATGTTAGAGCCTTTTCACTAAAGTTTTTTACATTTTTTTTTATATTATTGTCACCACAACAACTTAAAAACTTCTATATACCTAGTGATGGCCAAAAACCGGTCTTGGATCGGGCCAGGCTAGTCCTTACCGGCACCATGCCTCAACAGTGCCGGTCATAACCGGCCTCAGTGTAATCAGTCCCGGTCCCTGTCGAAAATACTAAGCCCGGTTAAGCATTCCTATAACCGGTTATGGTTAGTCAGTCCCGACCAAAAGAAGAAAATTTAACTTTTTTTAAATTCTTTTTAATGATAGATTTTTTAATACATTATAAAATTTGTAATTGAGTCACTCAAATATACTTTAAAAAATACGAGTCGAAGTCACAAAATATAACGAGAAACCAAAAATTGTGAAGGGCTTTTTCCGTTTTTCGCATTTTGTAAGTTGGTATGTAAATCCTTCAACCATGACACTTATATATAGGGTTTAGAAGGCAAAAAAAAAAAAGACCAAAAAACGGTCATATAACGGCTATATTTTTTCAAAATAATAACTACTTTTTAAAAAACCGGGTCAGGCCCATAACCGGTCATGGTCGGGCCGATCCCTCGAAACCCTCCAAAATCATAATCGGTCCCGATTGACGGCGCTATAACCGGTCCTTACCTGTCCCAGGCCGGGCCAGTCCTTACCGGTCCTCCGACGATCCGGTTCGGGCTGGGCTGGTTTAGCCAATCACTGTATATACCTATACTATATGAAAAACCTCAGCAAAACTTTTTCATAGCTTTTTCAAATTCTTAAAAGTGTCATCATTTTAAATTTATATCACTTATATTCTTATTTATAAAAATAAATATATTAAAACTATCTAAGAGTATGTATAACAATAATTAAAGAAAGTTAAATTTAAAAATTACAAAAATTAATTTAAAAGTATGTATATACTAAAAAGTAAAAATTGGATTGTTAAGAAATCTTAAAAAATTGTGTAAACACATGTCAAATTTGAGATATTATTTAAAAATATAAAAACATTATAATTACTTTAAATGTGTATTCATTTAATGACTTTATTTAAATATGATTACTTTAATTATATTAATAAATAAAACCGAGTAAATACAAAACTTTTATAAATTCTATAAAACTAAACCTGATTAAATACGAAAAATCTCTGAAAAAGTAGGTCGTGTAATTACGACCTATGACAAAAAACCTCATGTGAAAATACTTTCCACTATGTGAAAAACCTCAAAAAGAAGGTTTTCGCTTTTTGAAAAACCTTCCAAAAACCTCTTAAAAACCGCATAATGGATGCTCTTATAACCAACTTATTTACATGTTAATAAAAGAGAAAATTGCATCAAAATGAAACCATTTTCGGGTTTATTTTTGTTTTGGAAACCAACTTACAAAACCTTCTTTTCAGGGGGCCTAGAAGTAAATTTTATAAATAATTAAGGGTTCAGATGACTTCTTAACAGACCATCGGTTGATTTTGTTGATAAATTATTTCGGATATCTGATTAATGATTAGAATTTCTATCAAACTATATATCAAGCTAAACACCATTCGCTTAGATGTTGAAATACACACACACACAAAATATATATATATATATATATATATATATATATATATATATAGGGAAGGGTTCAAACGAGAACCCCTGTGATTTACGAGAACGCAAGAACAACCCAATAACCTCATATTGTGATAAAAAATAAAATTAAAAGATTTTTAAAATTAAAATTAAAATTTAAAAAGATTCAAAAAAAATTTAAAATTAAAAGGGTAATAATGGAAATGATATCATCAAATCTTTTAAACACGATCATTATCTTTTAAACACTCATTATTATCATTATCTAGTAAAACGGTTACAAAATAGGTTAGGATTATACTAGGTGTAATAATCATGTGATATAGGTGTGATAATCATGTGATAGGGGTGTGATAATCATGTGATATGAGTGTGATAGGGGTGTGATAATCACCATTATACATTACTTGGGTTAACGTTTTGGTTGATAAGTTAAAATTTTGGTGTCATCATGTGATTTGGGTGTGATAATCATGTGATAAGGGTGTGATAATCACTGTTATACATCACTTGGGTTATCGTTTTGGTTGACAAGTTAAAATTTTGGTGTAATCATATAAAATGGGTGTGATAATCATATGATATGAGTGTGATACTTATGTGATATGAAGAAAAGATGTTAACGAGAAGAAGAAGAAGATAACTACCAAGAGTAAAACGTGGAACGTGAAAAGATAATTATAGTTAATTAAAATAAAATAAAAATTATAAAAATTACTTAATTACATTATTGTCCTTATTAAATTATTTATATATAATAAAAGTTAATTTATTAATTAAAAAAGTTTGAGGTTATTGGGTTGTTCTCGCATTCTCGTAAATCACAGGGGTTCTCGTTTGAACCTCCACCTATATATATATATATATATATATATATAGAGAGAGAGAGAGAGAGAGAGAGAGAGGTTGGTTATTATACAACCCTTGACATTTGTGTAACCAATACAACTCAATCTCAACCGTCCATTTCATTTGATTAATATATGATTTCATAGAAGTTTTGATTGTTTCCTAATATAAAGTATTAATCATAATTAATGAACCATATTCATTTCCATAAATATTCAAATCATAATAAATGAACTCTCGTCATTTCCATAAATATCTCAATTTATTGGGTTGCATTGGTTGTACAAATGTGATGAGTTGTATTTGAAACAAACTATATATATATATATATATATATATATATATATATACACGAGTAGTTTTTTAACAAATTCATATCAATATAAAGTACAATAAATATGTTATTAGAAAAAATATATATAAGGCCAACACGTTTTGTTTCAAGAGTACATCAATTCGTTAACATTCCTAATGGCAACAAGGATGCTCGTAGGGTAGGATTTTTGTGTAAGAGACACGGGTGTCGTGCGACCATAGAACCATTTTGTTGTGGTGAACAAAACATTACGATCCTTCACAATGCTACTATTTATGTTACCATTAACATTTGCGTAATCAACTTAGCGATGATTTTTTGAGCGCTTCAATCCTTTATGCCATAGGAGAAGCACTCGTCAATATTACGAATGAGGATGTAACTAATCGCTTTTAGGAAAAGAAAGAGCCATAAAAGCATTTATAAAATTAAACTTGTTTATCATTTTTAGTGAAACCACATCTGGACACATTTATAAAAATTTCACCAGTGTGATTTTTCGGTCTTTACAGTTAATGCGACCCCGAGACGGACGTTTGGATCGAAAATTCTGAAGGAATATGATGAAATTGGAATATTGAATTCTTTTGACTAAATTTCATTCTCAGGTCTGGTTCGGTATTTTTTTAGATAAAAGAATCTTCAAATCTATCAAATTCCACAAAATGAATGATTTAAATATTCCATGGCATGTACGCAGGGACGAACCCAATTTTTTTTTAAACGGTGGCACCATTTGATCATAAGAAAAAAAATAAGAATTTTTTTTCAAACGGTGACGTTTGACTATAAGAAACAAATATACGGAATTTTTTTCAAATGATGGCACCGTTTGACTAAGAAAATGACACTAACATGATTCGGACTTAGGTGTGGGGTGGAATAAAAGCCTTGCAAACCAACTCTACCAAATAAAACTTGTTTTCATTGTAGTTTCAAAATACATACGGTGACACACAACAAATTAATACGGTTATACCGTTCATGAAACCTAAATTTTTTACCCTTCGACGGAGAAACGATACGGTGACACGTGCCACCCATGACATTTGACTCGGTCCGCCTATACATGTAGGTGGTATTTAGATGGAATGAAATTCTATATTTTTATTATACCAAATATACTCTTTACCTAATATACCCCTGTCAACCAAACGCATGTATCTACGATTTGTGAAAATATAGGGGTATTTTTTGTAATTTTCAAATAAATGTACCATCTGTCCACCTCTTGAATATTGGCTATTTGGTGGTCGGGTCGGGTCGGGTCGGGTCTTGCTAGCAATTTGAGCCTATTTAATTTGTTGCATGAAAATCCGGGGAATATGCAAAAGGGACGAAAAACGTAGACAATTCAAAAACCATGTTACCCGCTATTTCCTCTCATTGTTTCTATGTCGTTCCTTCATCGTCATCAGAGAGATGATTCTGATTCTGATTCTGATTCTGATTTGATTCTGGTTCTACAACTCTGAATCTCCGTCGTGCAACAATACATTGTTTCAGAACCTTCAGATTCATCAAGGTATCTGATCCGTAAATTGCTAATTTGTTCTGTCATGATGAATTGCGACGAACCTTCGTTGCTTTTGGTAAGAAATTGTTGGGTTTGGTTCCACTGATCAATGTTCGTTTCAGTTTCTGCGTTTTTGTTGCTAATTAATCTAGTTTTTTTGTAATTACAATGGAGCAAATTTTGATATATTTTGGCTATGACCTTTGAATTGGCGAATGGGGCATGATTAAGCTTCTTTGATTGTGTAAAAGTCAAAAGCTATATCTTGAAAGGGAGAGGAAAAGTTGAATTCTGGCTATCATGTTGTTATACGCATGAATAGCAACCTCGATGCACAAAAAGGCTCCTTAGTGTCTTGGATTTTTGTTGAAATTTTGTCTCTTCTCCAGCTTCATGTCGATGTTTTAATTTAGGTTTTTTTTATCATGTTAATTTTCAGAAATTGTGACAAAAATATGGCTGAAGAAGAACCGAAGAAAAAGGTTCTTTTTGCAGTTGGGAATAAGAGAATTATCTTCTCCAATCCTTCGTTTACTATTTCTACTGAAGGTAAAAAAAATCATGGAAGGCCTCTTCCATTCTTCTCTATGATGTTCTGTAATCATAATTACTGCTTCCTCTGTCCCATTTTGTAATAATAATTACTACTCTTTCCACACAAGGAATTCTTGTCACTTTAGTTTAATAAAAATATTTAACTATTAATATCTTGTAAAAAGGATAAATAAAGAAAACTATGGACTACAATCAAAGTTACCAATTCTAAGTAATGATTAGCAATTGAGCGAAAAAGGGTAAATTAGGATGAAATTTACCAAAAAAGCAATGTTGTGTTTCATTGGGAGAAGCCAAGATAGATGGTGTTCTATTTTTAGGATGAGCATTTGTTTTGTGTACTGGGATATTTTCAGTGTGATGTTAGAAGTGGCAAATGGGGACTAGGAACTCTTCGGGCACATCTTTTAGATCAAGTGATAAAAAGGGGTCCTTTTTGATCAAGTGATAAATAAAAAGAAATGTGCTTGACATATACAAGACAATGAAATATGCTACAACAGGTTCTGTTATGTAAATTCTTTTACTATTGCAGTTCTAGTTGATCAACTTTATTTTTTTGCTTTGCCATTGATGGTAAATCCTGATCCAGACATAAATGGTCTCACTGTTGATTATTTGTTGCCCTTGTATTCTATCATTTGACATTGTAATTATCTATATTTAATGGTATCCTTTTATCGTATTGATAGAACTTGGCTCCTTAGATAAAGATGAGGATGAGATTGAATCTGAACCAGCTTCACCTAAGGCCAGCACTACATCAGGTTCAAGTCCAGCTTCTCCCAAGGACGATACTTCAGGTTCACCATCTTCCACAGTCAGCAATTTAGATCCTGATCCCGATTCGGATCCCCATCAGTGGCATGGGTTCTTACGGAAACTTAAAAAGGGATCCACCTCAAGCTTGTATGGATTCCATCCTAGTCTGCATTCCATTAAGAGGCTGACTAGGAAGAAGAGCAGGAAATTAACTGAGAGCATACCAGCACTACCTCATGACTTAGATGCCGAGTTGCACTATTTTGAGGCATCATGGAAAAATTTCTCACTTGCAGATCTCAAATCTGCAACCAACAATTTTAGCCATGGTGTGTATCTTCTGTGCAAGACATTATGCATTCAACTTCTGTAGGTCTTATAAACTGTATTCCATGAATCTCTACATACCTTTTCTTCTCAAACCACTTTTAGAAATGAACAACAATGTCTTCACTAGCAAAAACATGTGAACAAAGCTTCCTTCCTTTCTCTTTTGACAATTTCTTTCTTGAGGATTGATACAATACTATCATGATGGTCTAGTGAAATAACTTCCATTAAATTTTTTTCTTTTTCATTTTATTTATTTGGTGAGCAAATATTAAATGTCGATTTTTTAACACAAAGATATCATTAAACGAATGACCTATCAAAAAGTAAAGCCCAATATACAAGAAAATTGTGAGTTTTCTTTTAATTTTATTTTAACTTATCTGCAAACAATTATATCTTCTCATAGTAGCTTGGTATATGACATATTTTTAATTGTATCTATCATGGGAATGATGATGCCCAATGGTTACTTTGAATTCTTGTGAATGAGTTGCATTCCTTACTGGTTAATTAACCATTATATGCATTTTCTATGGTGTTGCATTAGAAAACTTGATTGGAGAGGGAGGGTATTCTGAAGTTTACAAAGGTCATTTGCAAGACGGGCAACTTATAGCAGTTAAACGACTAATCAGGGGTACACCTGAAGAGAGGACTTCTGATTTTTTATCCGAGTTGGGAATCCTTGTTCATGTCAACCATCCAAATATTTCCCATGTTATCGGCTATGGGGTTGAAGGGGGCATGCACCTTGTTCTTCCTCTGTCTCAACATGGGAGCTTAGCATCTCTGCTTAGGGGTTAGTCATCAAAGACATTGTTCTGTTTTAATTTTTGTTTAGTCCAATTATCATGTTTGAACAAATGTATCTACGACCTCACACTATTAAAACGATCATCTCAATATATTACTTTTATGTAAGCATCATCGTAGGGTTCATATGGTTTTACCTATTTCAGATCAGAAAGAGAAACTAGAATGGGGAGTGAGATATAATATTGCCTTGGGCACTGCTTCGGGTCTTTCATATCTTCACGAAGGTTGTCAACGGAGAATCATTCATAGGGATATCAAGGCAGCTAATATTTTGCTTTCAGAGGATTTTAAACCTAAGGTAACCAAAGACACGAAGCAGGTTTACAATATCTTTCGCCTAGTTATTTCTTCATGAAGATCTGTATGCGCTTTTTGTAACAATTTCTTCAATTCTGCTGGTTTCCAACATGTCTTTTTGACGTTGGAGCTCGAGATCATTTTTCTCTCATATAACTTTTGCACAGTAGGTGATGATTATGACTAAGATAATTACGAAAATAAAATGCTTATCATACTTATTTCTATATCCATTTAACTTTCGTATTGATATTGAACTTTTTATCAAATTGCAGATTTCTGATTTTGGATTGGCAAAATGGCTCCCAGATCAATGGATGCATCTCACTGTATCACAATTTGAAGGGACATTCGGGTATGTGAACAAAGGAGTGACATGGTTCTGGTAGCATGAACGTTTTTCCCATTATACTTCCATTTGATTCCGTGTGTCGTTTTTAAAATTACAGCTACCTTGCTCCCGAGATTTTCATGAATGGTTTAATTGATGAGAAAACTGATGTGTATGCTTATGGGGTACTATTGTTAGAGATAATCACTGGACGCCCTGCGGTTGATGAGTCACAGCATAGTGTGGTTATGTGGGTATGTCTTTTATTCTTGTTAACACAAACTATAAAATTAGTAAATTATCTACTTGTAAAGATTGGCATGATTGACAAACTAAGCTAGATTGATTTTTGCCTTGTTTTAACTAACAAGTATGTTTCTTACCCTCAAAATGTTGAGGATATGATGGAGAAACCCTGTTTATACACAAACATTACCTGTTGTGTTTTAGAACAATGTGTCAAGTGATCAAATTTGGAAGGATGACAAAAAATTCTATCATGGCCTTTTATTCTTGTCTTGTATATTTAATACTTACAGGCTAAACCTTTAATTGCTTCGAAAGACTTTCAAGAACTTCTTGATCCACAACTTTCTGGCGCTTGTGACTTGGAGCAGCTGCATTGCATTGTATCAGTTGCTTCTCTGTGCATAAATCAAAGTCCGACTGAAAGGCCTAAAATGAGTCAGGTAATTTCTTTCATTTGGAAAAAAGTGAAGTAGGAAAAAAAAAACATTCACATGTAGAAAAGGTGAATTTATTCCAATATTCTTTTTATTTCATTCCCCCATTGCAGTTGCTTATATAACTAAATACCATACTGGAGGTAAGCTTTCGAAAGTTCACTTTGGATCATTTGGACAACAAGAACAAAATACACCGAGGAAAACAAGTGAATTGTCCAAACTAACACAATTTAGTCATGATACATTCTTGTCATCATTTTAGTTTTATTTCTTGCTACTTCTTCTTCGAGTTTCCTAACCAGCTTTTCTACCATTTATTTTTGTTTAGATCTCTTTTTTCTCTCCAGACCCTGCTCCCGTTGGGTTGGGTTGGAAACGACTAACCAATTATCTTATTTTATAGTCACCAACTGAACATTTCATTAGAGATAAAATGGTTATACTGTATGGATCATTTCAGTAACAGTGGTAACACAGAAAGGTACTTAGAAACAGAAGGGTTTAGTTTTGAAAATCCAGTATGCAGAAAAGGTTGTTTTCAATTTGAAGATTCTGAAATGAAAAACAGCACACCTATTATCATGGAAGATAATAACATATCTAAAACTGGTGTTGAAACCCCATGACACACACCAATGGATCTGTTTTGAATTCCTTCCATCCTCATTCTTGAATGCTTGTCTGTTTTCTTGGTGGCTTAAGAAACATTAGGGGTCCGTTGGTTCATGTCCGGGAATGGAAATAGGAATACTTAGTTTCCATTCCCACCAATTTGTTGCTAAATGTTCCATTACCTGGTAATTGCTCATTCCATTGCATCAAACCAGACACCATTAATGATTTCCATTTCCCACCCCACCCCCGTAGTTGGTAAAGGCATATTGTTAAATAAGGAGCAAAAACCGAAGCAATTTAAGCAATGTTCATTTGTTCCCATGGAAGATGCTATCTTTCAAGATATACAAGTTCTTTGTCATCCTTTTATGCATATGATGCAGGTTCATAGGATGCTAAAAGGCGATGAAGGCATACTTGATTGCAACAAAAAGTTTCAAAAAAGGACTGCGTTTAGAAAGGGGAAGTCGATGGATCTATTAGAAGAAGACTACGACGATTCAGACTTGCTCCAAGACGATCTAAACCAGCAAAATCAAATCGCGTTGGAGCTTTAGAGTTTGTGTTATTGGATTATATTATTACATAGCTTGAAGAGCCTTGGGATGCCGTTGACTTGTGTTTTTCTTTTAGTTCCATTGAGGAGTCATATATGCTCGGAACCATAGAATGCACAAAGCCAACAACATAAAGCACGCGTTGGCTCGCGGAGTTGGGAAGAAATTGCCCAAAAAACCAAGGTATCTATATGCATTGTCTTTCATGTTTATAAAGGAGATAACTTGATCTAGAAATGACATGAGCATGGGCAAATTATGATGTAGTTTTAGATTATTAGTTCTCCTAACTCATTTTTCCACATCATTTTTGTGTTTCTATTTCTTATGTAACATATGTAAAAGATTCATTACCAGAAATTGGATGTTTCACATTAGATTTACCTTCTTTTTTTGGAGTAGAGACCATGTTTGCATACATCTCATCTCCTGAACCCCACGCTCAGAGGGATGTATTGGATTGGCGTGATTTGATTTGGTTTATTTATGTTCTGTGTGTGTAATTGGCATTGAAGCTCCGCAACTTCAAGTGCACAAACGTAACTTCAAACATCCTATCGTAAGACCACACTGTTCCTTTGGATGTCATGTATTTATGTGTTGTGATGCAAGTCCTCAAATAAACCTTTTGCCATATTTTTTAAATCCATGACATTCTGATAAGTTCGAGAATGTCACTTAGGTATTTAATCTTAAATGGGATTTTAATTAGATTCATGACTTTCTCGTAAGTATAAAAGCCATTTTTTCTTTAGTAGGTCAGGAAATCATGGGTTTAATTAAAAACTCATTTAAGGTCATATCCCTAAATGACCCTCACATTAAGAAACTAGTTTTGCAAAATAACCCTTTTGTACATATCTAAGTTTTTACAGAAATAGACTGTTTTGAACCATGGACACCAAGTACCAAACCTCGTTTAAGATTATTGATTCATAGAACTCAAAGAGACCGAGGGTCCATTTATTAAATGTTTACCGGGTAAACGCTTGCCGATATCACTTACCTTACCAATTGAGCACCATAAGACCAAGAATCTTATCTAGCAAGAGGCGTATAACAAGAATCAAGAGTTTTACCACGACTCTTACCCGGTAAGCACTTACCGGGTTCGACATGCTTACCAACAATCCATTTTAATGACCAACAATATTACATGATAAGGTATTACATGATAAGGTAAGAAAGGTAATTTCTCTTGCCGAAAAACACTCATCCAGTAAATCCCATTACAAATGAATAAGAGTTTGTGGACTTACAATTGTGTCACAATAACCAGCTTCAACAAGGACAAGAAAAACAGATTGTATTTCTGGTTCTTGATCTTACAAATATATAAATAAATAATAAAAAATATATTTCTTCTACAACAAAGACATCATCACTATGCTACTTTGATTTATGAGAAACTAATCTTTCCTTCTTTTTTTCTTAAAAACATCATGTTATATGTAATATATAATATATATAATATATATATATATATTTATATATATATATATATATATAAATATTTATATTTATGGAATAACAATTTCTTGATTCTTTCTTTTTGCTATCTTCTGCTGGTTTCTTGAAAAAAAGGGAAACTTTTTTATCAGATCTTTCTTGTTTGCTATGAGTTTTGCTGGGAATACCAGAGTTTCTTCTGGCAGATCAATACCTTTTCTTTCTCGGTACCGTCTTCGGTCGCTTCTACACGACAATCCCATCTCATCCCCTTCGCTATCTTACCAATCCCGTCCAAGAAATAGGTTGATTCCCTGATTATCGTGTACCCGTTTGGTCTCAAGATCCGATCCATCTCCAACAACACGTATTTCATCTCGCACCTATACGCAATCGAAACTCTAAGAGTGTAAAAATGCAAACTTTCAAGATTTTGTTTATTTGTGCACTACAACAAAATCGGTTTTATATGACACTCTCATTATTCTAAGTGTCCTAATAGACCTCTTTATAGGACTTAGTTTATAGGACCAAAAAAATAAAGTGTTCTATCTAAAGGTGTTGTAATAAGTTTATATGACGTTTTTTGATGTCGTAATAAGTTTTTTATGACACTTTTAATATAAAGCGTCTCTTTATCAACTTTATAGGACACTATTTGAAAAACTGTCCTATAAAAAATTGAGTTTATAGGACACTTTCTAAAAAATGTCCTATAAAGTTGATAATGAGACACTTTATATTAAAAATGTTCTAAAAAACTTATTACGACATCAAAAAACGTCACATAAACTTATTACAACACCTTTAGATAGAACACTTTATTTTTTTGGTCATATAAACTAAGTCCTATAAAGAGGTCTATTAGAACACTTAGAATTTGGGAGTGTCCTATAAAACCGATTTTGTTGTAGTGGTGCTATTATTGGAACCAACTTCAAGATTTTTAAATGTAAAGTCAACCAGGATCTTCTGCAAAAAGGGCACGACGCCATTCTCTATAACTCCCCCAATATATAACCTTAAATGAGATTTAATTAAATCCATGACCTTCTGAAGAGTATAAAAGGTCACGTGGATGGTGGGGTTATTTACGAGAATAACCTTACGCACAAAGTTTTCTTGAATACATTACTTTACGACATATTTAAGAATGCATCTGTCTGGCAGAAGAATTCATGTTCTTACCGATGGCTTTCGAGTGTAAAGAGGCTGTCTACGTGAAGGAGATCATATGTTCGAGGATACGTCGAGAATGCCTCACACCTACCAAGAAATCAAACAAGCGAATTCATACGGAAAACAATACAAGATCGGGCTTCGAGATTATATATATATATACAATCATAAAACTACGGATTTGACTTACCAGTCGTGGAAAGTTCCGATGAGACCCCTATCGTATACTATGGCAAGCGAATTGAGAGCGTAGGACGAGACCACGTTCATGACCCAAAGCGGATCATCGATTAAAGCCGCAGCAAAACCTCCAAAAACCGTGTTCATATCCATCACATTCCGTATCTTATCGGTTCCAATAACCGGAAGCAACTTCTTGTAGTGATTCACTCTATTCTTCCACTTGTTATCGTCGTGATTGAACGACCCTGCACTGCCGCCATGAACCCCACGGAGACGGTCTGGAGCCACGTGCAACCGTTCCGGCCATTTTGGGATTGACGACAAGCTCGTTGTCTTGAATTTCGGGTTGGGCACAACCACACAGGGTCTCAACGGGGTGTACCATGCGGAATCCGGCTCGGTCCCGTCATCGCATATCGGCGGGTAGTTATCTGGAGCATCGAGCTTTTGGTAGCAGTTGTTATCTTCGGATTTCTGCCAAACTGCTATATCATCCTTCTTGTTGTACAACGTAAAGCACATTGAAGCCAGAAGTTCTTCCAACTTCTCGTAATCCGATTTTTGAACCTCAATTGTCGTGTTCCAACCTCGCCACCGCTGCTCGTAGTTTATCGGAGGACCCGACAGGACCCAAAAGCCTCCTGGCCGAAGGATTCGGTGAACTTCAAGAAGGTAAATTCCACCTGAAAATGCCATCCAATAAATCTATAAGAAACATGGAAGCCCGACGGCATAAGATTAAATGAGAACCATAAATATTTTGAGAACCGATATATTCATTTATGCATATAGTGTGTGTATATTGCATAGATAGTACATATTCATTGATGAATACACTAATTGACATAATGCATGTTTTAATAGTGTATATACACACACACACACATATATATATATATATATGCAGTTCTCACGGTTCTCAAAATATTTATGATTCTCGTTTGATCAAGATTATAAGTAAACATTCGTATAAGAATGTCTCCAAGCTTCTTCTATAAGATAACATCAAAACGTTAGAAAGATCAACAAAAATACCGAATTCTGTCCATGGGATGAGGCATCGTGAGCAATGAGCCATATCGAACGAATTGGATGGGAATGGAAGCCGTTGTGTCGATATAATCCCGAGAATCGCAGGAATCCCGCGTTCTAACGCGAATTGGACTTGAGCCTCGTGGTTATCTCTCGGGGCCAGAGATACCGGTAGGATGCCACGATCTAGCAAGTCGCCTCCCCAGCTAGCAACCTGAATACGAAAAATATCAAGATTTTAGATCACAACACAAAGACCAAACCAGTTTGGTCAGATTCATGGTGTCTAAATTACGAAACTAACCCCACATCCGGTATCAATGGCAGTTCGAACAGTCCCGTCTTTCATTCCCGGGATCAGATTTTGCATTAAATCGACGTAAGTGCTAACACCATTGCGGAACATCGTACCACCTCCGGGGAAGTAGAATTTATCTCCTTCTTTCCTTAGCCAATGCTGGTTCGACTTCTGTTTGTTGATCCAATCATACGGAACGTTCCTGAAACGTTAAATAAGAAGACGTTAGTAAAAAGACGACATCTTGATCCAATTTGGACCGAAAAAAGAAAAGATTGGAAATTCACCTGTACCAACATTCGTCTTTGCTCTTTGGCCATCTGATCGGCTCCTTGTAGCCATCGGGTGGCGGTACCAAACACTCCTTTCTTTCAAATACAGACGGACAATGGCGCTCCATGAACGTAAGCCTGTGTTGACTGTATTTATTCCATCTCTGTTACCAAAAACAATTGCATTAGTCGTTAATCACGCTATCTAGAAAAAGCTTATATGTGGCCTATGCTTGTGCTTTATAAGATATGTTTCTTAATCTTTTTCGCAAACCAGGGTCTTCTTGGAACAGAGGTAAGGTCTGCGTACATCTTACCCTCCAGACCCTACCTTCAGGTGGAATATACCAAGTTTGTTTTGTTTGGTTCGGTTTGGTAATTGTGCTATCTAGCCTCAAAAATGAACCACAAGCCCAAGAATCATGCATACAATCAAGAAAACTCGTATACAGATATATCCATGGAAACGAAAACACAAATGCACTCGATCATCGAAAGCAATATTATCCAATAACAAAGACTCTTTTGTTGATGCATGACCTTCTGACAAATTTTGAGGTATTCTTCTGTTAGGTATAACTGTATTGGTGTTTTTAAATCTGTCAGAAGGTCATGCATAACCACAGGCATACATCCACCCTCCTGACAGATTTTGAGACATTCTTCTGTTGGGATATAGGCGTTTTTTATATTTGTCAAAAGATCATGCATGCATTAACCACAAACATCCACCCTTCTAACAGATTTTGAGGCATTCTTCTGTAAGGTGTAGGCGTTCTTAAATCTGTCAGAACGTCATGCATTAACCACAAACATCCACCCTTCTGACAGATTTTGAGGCATTCTTATGTTAGGTATGAGAATTCTTAAATCTGTCATGAGGTCATGCAACAACTACAAACATCCACGCGATACTCAGCCAATGAAACTAAGTCAGAGATCAAGTACACCCAGAGAACAATTATAAAAGAACCACAAAAAGACATTCATACCCTAGGATCAGTGCAAGGGGTGTAGTCCTGAAAGTCAGCACTGCATTCAGGGAAGGAAACCGATTTAACCTGAATCGGGCCAGAAACAATCGGTTCTTCAGAGTCAACCACTCTAGCAACCGGCTCAGTGGGTAACTTGTTTTTTTCAGAACAAAAGATCCCACCAAGATAGAATGAAAGCCCACATAGCACCACAAACATTATTGCCATTGATACAACTCTTGAACCTTTATCAGGTTGTCTCCCAGGTTTATCATCTTTAAACTTCATTTCTTCCCCCCACAAAATTTCTTCACAATCTGCTCAAAAATCAAGTCGAAAACTTTTAATTAAGACGATATAAAATATACCCAACAAGCAATATTTCACAAATCATATCAATTAAATCAAGATTCAACTTAACTGCAACAAAATTCCTCAAGATCACTGCTTTTTTTTCAAGAAATCTTTTTGAGACAAACCCAGTTCACAAACAGCTTATTACTGAAGATGGAAACTGTACTCTGGGTATAAATAACAGATCTTGTTCATGGGTTACTAATACAAGTAAAAAAAAGAGATAAAAAACTAGAGTCAAAAACTAAGAAAGTTTGTCAAGATCTGGTGGCACAAGAATTGGGAAAAATCAAGCAAGTTTGTCAAGATCTGATGGCAACTATTTGGCTACTACAGACAATGTTCATTGGCCCCTTTCCAAGTAGGACTCACTTTAATCAAAAAGTGACTCAAAGTTTGGGTCCAATTTCATGAATTCTGGTTTGAGGGCCCTTTGTAATTACATGCCCAGTGAGTGAAAGAGAGAGAGAAATAGTCCCATGTAAAATACCAATTGAATAAAGAGGTGTTGTATTGTATTGTATCTTCAGGTACCAAATTCAATTGACCCTTTACTTTTTGAGGGTAAAACAGAGGGAAAGTTGCCAAGATTCTTTGATCACCATGCCACCCAACCCAATCAATTGCTTTCTTTATTCTTCTGAACACTCTTAACAAATAAAGATGAAAAGGCATATAATTCCAGAAGAAGGAAGGAACACAAAACACACTCGTAATGCAGCTACAAAATCGATTGATCAATACGAGTCATACAGAAAGATTTATTATATATTTTTCAGAAAAATCCTCAAATTTCACGAGAATCGAAGCAATTAGAGGAGAATCCATCTCTCGAAATCAGATCTGCAAACACGAAATCACACACCAAACCCAATTGGGTATAAAGAAAATATTCGTGTTTCTTGGGATATTTTCGTAAAAAAAAAAAGATTAATTTCAAGAAAGATTTAATGATGATGATGAAGAAGGGAAGAAGAGAGGATGTGTTGTAATGGGATTACCTGAGAAGATGTTTGTTAAATATTCGGAGATTTATGAACCCTACACGACCATGGATCCTGTATGAAACCCAAGAAGAGAAGCTGATGAAGGAGAGAGGGAAAGTGAAGAGGGGAGAGGCAAAATGGTGAGTAAAAAGGATATCTATGGCCTCACACACATACATGTATGCCCACATGCATATATATATATATATATTATATATACACACACACAAACATATATATATATATATATATATATGTTAGAGAGATGATTGCCTTCCTCAAACTAACAACACTCTTGATACGTTTTTCTGACTCTTGTCTTCTATGTATTTTCTCACCTTTGTTTTGATAATAATTAATGGGAAAAAACCTAAAGTGGTTTCACTTTTTAATTTTTTTTATGTAAAATAGTTGTAAAATATTTTAATATTGTTTGTATATTAGTGTAATATAAATTTTAAATAAAATAAAGAATTGATTTAATTTTCTTATAAAGAATTCAAAAGTATTTATATTTATACTATATTATAAAGTATTTGACAAAAACTCTTAAAAACCATTTTTTTATGCATTAAGTGTTGTTTATTGATGCATATTACTTAAAATTTAAGATTAAAAGTAAATTATGTGTAAGTATAACTTATTAAAGCTCAATGTTTGAATTCGTGTAACCGACTGCAGATAAATATCAAATAAAGGATAAACATCTCATTTTAAATATAAAAGATATAAAATATAATTAGGATAATTATTGAGTACTAATAAATTTCTTTTTTGTTATCTTTATAAAATAGTATATTATTAAACCAAAAATGAATTAAAGGAATACACAAAAAAAATTAAATAGTTAGTTTGGTATTGATACCAATATTTTTTTTTCATTTTTTTATGATATATCTTTATATTTATATTTTATTCAAAAATAAAAACATTATCGCTTTATCAAAAATCGCATAAAACCGTATTATAACATCGATTAAGACAAAAAAAACGATACATTAAAATCAAAATGTATCTCGCTGCATTGTGTTAGTATCCTTCTAGTTGTATTATAAAGTATTTAGGTGAAACTCTCGAAACACATTTTTAATGCATAAGTACTATTTAATGACGTATATTATTCAAAATTCAAGATTACAAGTAATGGTGGATGAGTACAACTTTTTAGCATTATATATTTAAATTCATATGATTAACTGATAAATATAATCAAATATAAGATAAACATATCTTTTTTAATATAAGTAATCTAAAATATAATTAGGATAATCATTAAGTTCTAACATAATACTTAATTATTATTTTTATAAAAAATTATATTATTAAACGTAAATTAAATTACTACGTTATTAAATCTAAATTAAATTATACTAAAAATTGAACTAAAAAAACTATATAAAAGATGAAAACTTTTTAAATTGTTAATTTGATATTAATATTAATATCAATACAATTCTTTTTAGGTCTTTAAAGTAAAAACAGGTTTTTTTCAAAACCATATACAACCGTATCATAAAACGAAACATTAAAATCAAAATGTATTTTACTGCATTACGCTTCTAATATAAATAAATAAATATGTTAAATTATTTAGGAAACTCCACGTGAAAATATAGTACAATTCTACAAACAATTTTCTCAATCTACCCCTAGAATACATGCAACACTTACCAAAATTTTAAATTAATTTTATATGCTAAATAATAAAAATAATCAAATACTTAAAAACAAAAGCCTTTTACATCTCCAATCCATATTATAAACATCAAAAAGTCAAACACTAATATATATATATATATATATAGGGTATATTTCAAATGCAACCATGTCCATTTGTACAACTAATGCAACCCAACTAATTGAGATATTTATAGAAATGATGCGAATTTATTTATTATGATTTGAATATTTATGAAAGATGAATAGAGTTCATTAATTATGATCAATACTTTATATTAAGAAATAATCAAAACTTTTATGAAATCACATATATATCAAATTAAATGGACGATTGAGATTAAGTTGTATTGGTTACACAAATAT